AAATGATAAAGAAGATAAAAATAGAAGCGGAACTCGGAATTTAACTAAGAGTCGGGCCGTCGCCCCACCAGCCTTTGATACCGCGCGCCCATTTATCACGCAAAAGTCTCGCCATCGTCGAAGCCCGTCTCCACGCCCGAGAGCGCGTCTTGGTCAGACGTACCAGTCAAAATTACCATACCACTTAATCCTAAATTAAATCAGAAAAAAATAGATAACTAAATAAATAAATAAAATTTGACCGGCGATCACGCCGGCCCTTCAATCATGAATAACAAAAATCATGCACGCCTAAAGTCTGCGCGCCCACACACTCTTTGTTCTAGTCAACCATCCGGCCATCGTAACCATACAGACGCAGGCGCGCCTCGCGCGGTATACTTAACTTTAAGCCAAACTCATTTTTTCTGTCATTTGCAAAAACCAGGGCGGATACCCTTGTAAAGGTATTTGCGCCGACAACGAGGCGGGGGCACGGGAAATTGGCGCATGGTCGGGTTGAGGCCGTCAGTCCACATGGCAACCAAAGCAAGAACGAAAATTTTCTTAATCATACATCATTCGTTCAACACTCTAGGCAGCCAGATCATCCAGTCGATCAAGCAGTCATGCTCCCCAACATGCTACAACAAGCTCTCTAATAGGACCCTCTGCATGCACATATCAAAGTGAGAAAAGCAAAGTTACCTCAATTCATCCATTATAACAAGACATGACAAAAGGAAAGAGTGAGGGAGAATAGGCGCAGATCAGAGGGGAGGAACGAATAAAAAACAATCACAAAATGTCCAACGATCTTGTCAAGGGAAATTCTGGCTTAAAAGCTGAATGATCAGAACTCACGCTCAAAGATACAGATTTTGGGACAAAAAGAGACGCTTCCATCATAAAATTTCACCATGGCCCCAGGCCATGCACTCACTCGCTTCCGATTCGAAATTTCCACAAACACTGACGATCCTGGTCGTCACGTGCTAATCCACCATTGCGATTGTCAATTTGCCAACTTAGTCTCTGCACGGTCTGGTCTTGATCCCACAGTTCATCGGGCGATCCAGTGCTCCACCGCGAAGGCTATAGTCAGCTCGTCGGGACTTTTCGACTCGCACCTTTCCACATACCACCTAGCCACTGCTTCCCGGAAGCTGGCTGATGAGTCGAGAGAGAGATTTACGGGAGGGCTTGTGGAATTTATAGCTGCGGAAAAGGAGATAGACGCTAGGAAGGGTTAGTAGTGAGGTAGGGAGGGGTAGAGGAAGGTTTAGGGACACTCGCCTGACGAAAGCCATGTCGATCCTTTGGATCCCTGTTGTAGCCAATCAGAATCGTCGTGTATCCGGAATTTCCTTATTACACGACGCGTCTCCTTGGCTGGCGGGAGGGAAGAGGGAGTCGACATAGTATTTCGGCGCGAGAATTAGAGCGGGAAGAAGAAGAGCGCGAAGAATAGCGCGAAACGGAACCAAGATTCAGACCATCAAGAAAGAGAAAAGGCCCGCGAGGCGAAGGAGAGATGGAAAACGGTTACAGAGAAAGAAGGAGCGTGGACGCGAAGAAGAGAGTGTCGAAGGTAGTGAGGGAAGTGGGGAGGGAAGATTCGCATGCATGGCGCCGATGCGAAGGCAAAAAGGGCACCGAAACAGTTGCAACTAATTCAAAATTGAAAAGTACCATATCCGCGTGTAGAGCGAGTGCAGGAAAAAGTCCTATACCTATTCAAATTCCTACGAAAATTCCCAGAGTTTTCCAAGACGAAGTTGATAATATTCATGCACAAGAAAGGACACGTCAGGTTCCGCTCATTCCGGAATTCCTAACTGTCGACCTAAATTCCTAGCGCGCTTGCTAAGGCGCGTGTAATTCCCATGCATTTCCCGAATTGCAAAGAAAAAACGAAATTCCAAAAACCGATCCAAAAATGACGAAGGTCCTGAGAAGGAATGGCCTCCCTGATTACGAACAAGGCACATTAATTCATGGAAATACAAATGGAGGCCTCGTCGACCTATTTGCAAAAGCACTCAAATTCGAAAGAGGGTTGGGGAGGTTGGAAGATGGCGCAGGTCCGGAAGCTGGCGTGTCACAACCAATATGAGAACTTGAAGTAGGACATGAACAGACAATGATCAAACAAAGCACACGGACAAAACAGCAGGTATCCCGAATGCGACTTAATTCCTCGTGATAATAAGAGTGGAGCGCAAAAATCGGAAATAGAATTCCCGCATGACGTAATGACCCAACCGGTTTCGCCTCGCCGCCTACTAGGACTCATCTAAAGTCGGCTGAAGTCACCTGCTAAGGACTAACTATATATAACCTGAAAAAACCTAGACGACAGCAACCTGACAAAACTCACAGCAATCGGTCAACCTCATCGAGAAGTCGTGACTCAAATAACATGTACCGCATCACAAGATCAAACCCTCACAGGACACAATCATCGAAGTTCAAAGACCAAAAGACATCCCTGTAGTTCAGACAGGACAACTACTACGTCCTTCTAGAAGCAACATACTGCCGCATTGTGTCGGTCCGAACCAGCACACATACCGAAAGTAACAGGTTCGGAACCAGTACCATTAAGTTAAACCCAAATCACTAACCCTACAGGCAGAGTAGGTTCCGAAAGGTATCACGATGGAAACTTCAAAAAGACAGAAAACCAAAAAACCTTTGGAAAGTCCAGAAAGCAGTGGTGTCAAGATCGAAACCCGGAAACAAAAGGTCTTCGGTAAGCCCCCTAAATCAAACAGCATCGACACTAGAAGAAACACAAAATGACCCCCTAGAACGGGAGCGACTCAACTCATGACCCCTTCACATCTCCATCCAGAAACCGGCCCCACTTAGTAAGCAAGGGAACCCAGTTCCTCCACAGCCCTCCAAATTTCTGAAGGCCGTTGGCCCCTGCGCAAGGATGACACACATGAATCGAGAAATCGTCCAGCGATGGTATCTCCAGGCCGTCGGCACCCAAGTGTTCACGCCAGCAGGTGTGTCAATGCAGTACCAGAAAAGCGGGAGCCCAAACAAGGCACCCCTGAGTAGTGGCTTCGCCTCTCCTCTCACCGGATGTGAAAAAGACAAAATCTGGGCGCTGAGCATATCGGGAAGACACTTTGGGACTCGCCACACTACTCCCGACTTGGGCATTTTCGGGAGTGCAGCATCACCACACCAGCTCCCGAGTTCAAGGTGTCAGATTGAATTCGGGAGCTGTCAGAATGTGCCTCCCGAGAGCACTCCCGAACTCACCGCCTGCAAAGCTTTTTTTTCGAGAGACCTCCTTCGCTCCTCCGAGTTYCATCCCAGATTCRGGAGYGGAGCCSRAAGGGACAAACGACTTCTGCCAGACTGCTTCACACTGATCGTGTCCATATGTGGCAAATGACATTTTCAGAATTTGAGCGCGGCCGGGTCGAGAGTGTAGTGTGGCGAAGGGCACTCCCGAGCGGGTTTTCACTTCCGGGAGCACTCCCGAAAATTTTCCCAAGTCGGGTGTGGTGTGGCAAGGCCCTTTGTTCACTTTACCCGTTCTCTGACTGTGCAGCGGTCAAGTCCAAAGGTACCCTGATTCGTTATATGATGCTGTCATCGGTAGCCCACTTCAGTGGCCCCGTGGGTACACCATCGTGGGTACACCATTGGACTGTTGAAATGCAGACCCGTGTTCGAATCCAAATGACAGAACTTGATATGAATTTCTGCATTGCCTGAGGCCGGTCAGCTCAATGATGAAGAAAAACAAAAAATAAAAAAATGCCCCCTGCGGAGACTGGGTACCATGGCGAGTCTTCCGGCTGCAGTACTTTTTTTTATCCTCCCCTGAGTCAGGCCTCGAAATGTGAAAAACAGAAAAATGTGGCGGGCGAATCTGGCCATGTTATTGGGGGAAGTTCTTTCTCATTTTGCACATTTCGAAAGCGGTGGCATGGCGATGCCACGAGGCCTTTCGCAATCCTGGATAAAAATGGGATCAAAAAAAAAAGGGGACTTGGGGCCTGGGACTAGGGTAAGCGGGACAAGTGTGCTACAGGAGGATATACGTTCTGAGTTGCCTGGTCGCTCGACGCGTGTGTCGTGCCTGGTCGCTCCGCGGCGGAAATGCAGCTCAGGCGGTGTTGGGAGCTCGACACGTCCGCTCACCACCGCTCGGTGACCGGAGTTTCGCTTTGCAGGAGGGCATATCACACATCACACATCGGGGAAGGAAAGGCCTATTCGTGTGGGTGAGCCCTGAGCCAAAGACGAAGCCTACGATGAGACACACGCACACTTACACACTCACACACTCACACACTCACACACACGCGCAAGCAAGCAAGCAAAGAGAGAGAGAGAGAGAGAGAGAGAGAGAGAGAGAGAGAGAGAGAGAGAGAGAGAGAGAGAGAGAGAGGCCTCTGCTCCATGGGAAAGTGATGCTCATTACGGAAGTACCGCGATGATGATGGTGATGATGACGATGATGACGATGGTATTGACAGCATGCCGATAGTGCTTCCCGTAGGATGAGATCTAGGGCCAGGATTGCCCGAGAGTGTGGGATTGTGTTCGGGTAGGGTCCAAATTGGTGGTTTGTTATCCGCCGGTGCTGACCTGTGTTAATTTCCAGTCGTTCGTCGAGCGATGGTGCAAACTCCTGCTTCGATTCATCGTAGAACCCGAAATTCACTGTCGTTGGTCTTCTGACTCTTCTTATTAAGTGATTACTTTCCTCGATCCGCCTGTTCGTTCCCGAGCCCGCTCCTGAAAAGAATTTAAAATTTAAAATTGGAACGATACAGAGAAGATTAGCATGGCCCCTGCGCAAGGATGACACGCATAAATCGAGAAATGGAAGGGTGTGTAGAGGAAAGGCAGCGTAGCGTGCTATAGTGTCGAGCCCGCCGCGTACTATTCTGGCGTCGTTGCCGGCTGCCCAATTGAATGAGCAAGCAGGCAATTCGCTTCATCACGAGCGTGTGGTCGATCAGAAGGCCGCCGTATGGGCACTCCGGTCGGGCCGAAATAGTCGAAGGTGTGCCTGGTTTCTGAGGGCAGTGTGTGTGGGTGTGTCTCTGGTAGAACCCTTGCTCCCTACCGTCTTCCCCCCAACACAACGCACCCTGAAAAATGAATGTATACAAGCCATCTTTCCGGTCTGGTGACGCCGAAATGACGGTGCGTTGTGTTCGGGGGAAGACGGCAGTTCGTTAGTCTGGTCGACGGTAGATTACTCACGAGCAATTCAAGCGTGCAAGCCATGGGGTCGAAGAGGTAATCGGTTGTAGTGTCGAGTATGGTTCCACCAGGCCGGCGCCATAGCCGGAAATGGACCATGGCGACAAAAAGCAGCGTCCTTGATTGGGGATCGCCTCAACCAAGGAGCTGCCGCCGACGCATAACGTCTCACGAGAACAATCACCTCAGAGTCCTCGCTCCACAGCCACCTGTCCTCTCCATATCTTTTCTTCCTTGCAATCGCTTCGTTTAGCGATGGGAAGGATTATCCCTGTTCTTCTTCTTCTTCTTCTTCTTCTTCTTCTTCTTCTTCTTCTTCTTCTTCTTCCTCGCCTGGCCTTTCACTCACACCGTGGTTCGGATGCCAGTTGGCTGCTGCTTGGAGGGCACCTATTTCAGACCGAGTGTAGGTTTCCGGCTCCGTCTGTGTTGGCCTTGGGATTGGAAGGGCGATCGGCCACGGAGTCGATTGGTCAACCCGTAAGCGGCGAGGGATCTGAGCTTGCAGACGGCCACGGCGATGGTGAGAAGAAGGGGGGGAGGGTGCTCGAAACAGCCGCAGCAACGAAGGTTCCAGAGGCGTTGGTGGTGTTGAACTCAGAAGTGCTGACTCTGGAAGGAGACATCCACGCTGGCCTCTCTCTCGAACAAAAAGGCGTTATTCTCGACCTGGCCCTTTCGTCGGACGGTAAGTCGGTTTACTCGTTGCAATTCAAACATGTGGACATGTCGTCGTCTTCAGGAGCGGATGGCGGCGGTTCCCTGGGCGCTTATGAGGGTTTGTGCCAGCTGCGCACGACTGGGAACCTTAATGGCTTAGCCGTATTTCCGTCCCGTCGCGCCAGCACGAGATCAGGGGGCGCCGATGTACCGTCGGCAGCAGCAGCAGCTGAACCGGATGCAGTGGCTTCGACGGGCGGCGGCGAGGAGGGAACAGACCTTGTCTTAGTGAGTGGGTACATGGACGGCAAAGGAGGAAACGTGTGGAGCCTAGATCCACGCAGAGCGGATGTCGAGTGCTCCGAGAGTCAGTTCTTGCTGGCAAATCTCCCCGAACCGGAGTCAATGGCGGTGGATCGCTTGCAAATTGTGCGACGGCAGAAGGAGGAGGAGGAGGAAAAGGTGGTTGGCAGTAATGAGGGGGGGTGGGTTTACGTGGTGACGCAACGATCGCGCATCTTAAAGATCAGGCACAGTGATAACAATGGGAGCAACGCCCTGCTGCGGGATACGGGCAAACTGACTCTGGCCGGCGGCGAAGGCAGGGGCTTCTCTGATGGCGAGAACTCGTCTTCCGTGCTCTTCGATAAGCCTCGGATCGGGTTCTCCTCCATCGCTGGCGATGGCCGATTCCTGTTCGTCGCTGACCGGGGCAATGGACGGGTGAGACGTGTTGACACGAGGACAGGCGCGACCCAGACCGTTGCGATCTTTGGTGAATCCGAAGAGGTCATGATCACAGACGGCAACCCCGCGGCTGTTGCCGTCACGCGAGATGGTCTTCATCTCTTCGTCATCACGAAACTTAGTCGTGCTGATACCCGTGCAGAGATCCAATGGGTGAGGCTCGGAATCGATGGAGTTCCCGAGGGGAGATTCACCACTGTAGCATACCTCGCGAATACTATGGAAAGTCTACTTTCCATTGCCATCTCCGACGACTCCGGCCATCTATACGCGGGTGACAATCGAGGGAGGGTGCATAAATTCAAGCTGAACTCCTCGGC